TGAACAGCCTCTGTCTCCCTAAAATACTGTCTGGTGTAGAATTCTGGTTGGGTACCCATCTAGTCTGAAGGTGTAAAATGTCTAATCCTAAATTGTGTCAGAGGTCAACCATTGGCATCTTCCTCAACAGTCAGCCTCTCTTTGGGGACCAGGGCTTGCCTGCTTGGGTGGGCTAGCTGGCCAGCGAGCTCAGAGACACAAGTGCCTGCTCTTTCCCAGAAGTGGGAATAAAGGTGCAGATCTCCGAGTCCAGCTTAATGTTTTTTCTTCTTAGACCTCCAATGGCACGTTTGCATTTAAAGATAAAAATTCTTGAATGACATGACTAGCCAGAAACTTTAAAAGGACTATGATCTCTCTACAAGCACCCAGGAGCAAGCACTAAAGAAGCACATTCAGAGGAGGACAATGGTTGTTTCTGAAGCACAGAGGGTGAAGGCGGTTGTCTAGGGCACAACCTCCTGACAGGACTTTAAAGAATACCACACCAAGTATTTCAGGAATTCATGAGAACTCGTTCTGGACGCCCTTGGGAAGAAAAGAGATATTCTTTCCAGCACCCACACGGCCAAAGCCATCCCCTGAACAGTATCCAGAGTTCACATAATTGGTTCGAGATTTTCAAATGCTTCAGCTTGGTCACGGGAGGGAGAACCTTGCCATGGCCGGTTCCTCGTGTTCTTCAGTCTGATGAGTTCTTAGCTTGTGGGTTTTACTAGTCTCTGGGTTAATTTTCCTGCTCTGGCTTCCTAGGCATATATACCAAGCCGAGAATTCTTTAAAGCACGGAATTCTAAACAGTTCAGTTAAACCGTTTTTGAAGCCCACTTATGTTTGCTAAATTCTCTTGTCTTTGCTGTGCATGATGGGGGACGAGAGACTGAGAAGGCGGAGTCTTTGCCCAGGAGAATGTTTGTACACAGTATCATTTCCTGTGCTGCTGTGAGAGCAGAGCAGTCATAGATCCTGACGAAGCTCGTCGTAAGCTCCTACTCTTGAAGCAACGTGGGGACCTTTTATGCATGACAAGGACTTTTAGAAAACTACCGTAGAAATGAGTTTATATTTCAAAAATCCAGCAATTGTGCTTTGTATATACATAATCTCACAGTGCCCAAAATGTCTTAAGACACATTTTAACATACTATTTATGTATTTATATATGTATTTATGTAACATACTATTTATTCTATATTGGTTATTTGGGAATTCCACACAATGTACCCTGATTTCTCATATTTCCCAGTCCTCCTAGGTCCTGTCCCATCCCCCCAACACACTTTGTGGCCTCCTACCCATAAAAATATTTTTTTAAAAAAAATGGAAAAAGTCTAATTTGTGTTGTCCATATAGTCAGTGGAACATGGTCGGACTCCTGGTGGCCAGCTCCTTAAGAGATATTTCCTATTCCTACTTTCCAGAACAAATCGGTAGAATCTGAGGATGCTTCTCTTACGATTCAGTTACAGCATGCCCTCCAAAAGCTGTCTGTGTTGAACTCAGCCCCAACGTGGTGGCTCTTTGGGGAAGTGCCTAGATCAGGCAGGTGCTGTCCTGATCAATGGATTAATCTATAACAAATTCCTACCCGAGTGGATTGTTGGGAACTGGTGAATACTGGCAAGGCAGTACCTGACTGGAGGACTTAAATGGTTTCTTGACTTTTCTTCTGTCTCGTCCTCTCTTGTTTCCTGCCTATTAGGAGGTGAGCCTCCCTACCTATCTCTCTCTCATGCTGTTGAACCTTACCTTAGGCCTAGAGCAAGGAGGGCAGCTTGCCAAGGTCTCCAAACCTCCTGACACACGAGCCAAGCCGACGTCTCCCTCACGCCACTCTCCTCAGGTGTTTTCTGGATGCCATGGAAACTTGTGAGATTAGTCACACACCCGTGAGACCAAATAGGAAGAACGGAAAACCCTAATTCAAGCTCAGATATTTTCGAGTCAAGTTTAGACACAATGCACGTCCAAGAAAATTATCAACATAAGCAGCTTTGACACGCAGGAATCCCCTAGCATACAGGTATATACAAATTAATAACTATTTCCTAAAACTTAAAATTTCTCGAATAAATAATAACTTCCCAAGGAGATTATGAAAAGTCGTCCATTTGTTCCAAAGCTCTATCAAAGAGGAAAGAAAGAAATGTCGCTTTGTAGATTCAGTAGGTAAGGCTCCCTGCCACCAAGCTCTACGACCTGAGTTCAGTCCCAGGGACTTACATGGTAGAAGGGGAGAAGAGATGCAGGCAAATTGCCCTATGACCTCTCCAGGTACACTGCGGCACGTGTGCATCCATGTTCACAGACATGTAAACTAAATAAACAAGGGAAGGGACGGAGGAAGGGATGGGGCAACAGAGGAAGGAAGGAATGTTTGAGCAGGACTGTTCTGATAGCGGTCCTGAGCCATTAACCAGAGCCGTAGATTACTGGAGATACTTGTTATGCCTTGAATGGCATCAAACGCCAACAGAGACCATCTCTTGAGGGAGTCTGTAAACACAGTTCTGACTGAAGCTCAGAGAGTACATCCGGACATCTCATATTTTCTATAATTATATGATTTAGGAGGGACTTCGATGTAAGCCTCACTTTTTGTTTTGTTTTGTTTTGTTTTGTGGGCTTACTCTGTACCCCAGGCTAGCCTAAAATTCACAAATCTTTCTGCCTCAGCTCCCTACATATCAAGACTCCAGGCGTATACTCCTGTGCCTGCTTCTCATTCTCTGAAGGTAAAGACATACGACAAATATCCTAGAATCCTTAGTTCTAACAGCTATAATGCCCCCCAACCCCACCCAAGAGAACCCCTTTGACCATCGAGTGAGAAGAGAAAATGCTCAGACAGGAATCCTCAGTAGAACCCAGGTGGTTGAGCAGGCCCCACCTGGCCTGTACAGCAAGCTTACTGTCGTCAGTGTCGCACAAGTCAAGGATAAGATGTCCCCTTGCAGTTCAGTCCAGCATGGCAGTTTCACTGGCATAAGGGTTGATTTGCCACTCGGCAAGGCAATCTGCAGCTCTAATGGAAACCCCCAAGGGTCAGTTCTTTCAAGCCTTAGCCCCAGTTCATTCTCAGGCAGCTCTAGGTCTTAAGATGACATGTTCAGCTTCTGCAAAAAACTCTGGAGGACACTCCTGGCCACCGGACATCTGGTGGAAATGCAATTCTCAGAACAAGCCACACCGAAGAGTTCTGTGACTCCCTCTGCCATGAGCCCTGTCTGTGGAGCACACACAAGGACCTGATAGCTAAATCTGGCCAGTGGTGTTTGCACACATGGAATATGGCCAGTGTGTGCACACCTGGAGACCCAGCACGCAGCAGGCAGAGGCAGGAGCCTGACGTCAGCCTGGTTTATTTGGTGAATTTCATTCTAGCCAGGGCCTCATAGCAGGACCCTGTGTTAAAAAACAAATCGAGCCTGGCGTAGTGGACACTCCCTTTAATCCCAGCTCTCAGTGGCAGTGGCAGGTGATTCTCTATGTGTCCCAGGCCACCTAAGGCTACATAGTGAGACCTTGTCTTAAAACAAACAAATGAACAAAACCCATCAAATTAATAACAAAAATCAAGGGGTTAGAGATGGCTCAGTACATAAAGGTGCCTGCTGCCAAACCTGACAGCCTGAGTTCAATCCCCAGAGCCCACACAGGCAAAGGAGAGAACTGATTCTTACAAGTTGTCCTTTGATCTCCATATGAAAACTGTGGCATGAGCATGCTCACAGTCAATTGATAAGCCATTAATCAATCAATCATCAATCAATCATTCAATGCAATTTAAAAAAACAACAATGACAACAACCAAACAACTGAAAGAAGCCAGACCGGCTGGTGCATGCGGCTCAAGAGCTATGTGTGGAGTAGTGAGTGGGTTTCTGGTTTGCTTTGCTTTTTGAGACATGGTTCCACCCTGTAGTCTGGGATGACGTCATACTCTGAGCGGTTCCCGAGTGCTGTGGTTACAGGAATGCACCGCCACACTGGAGCGTAGTAGTGATTTTAAAGGTTGCAAAGAGCCAGGCAGGAATTAAGGGAACTTGAGGGTCCCCAATGAGAAACTTGTCACATATTTTGTGTGCCAGGTGCTGTCACAGGATGGTGGCAGTGCTCAAGGGAGAGTTGTAGCTGGTGGGTTTTTTTTTTTTCTGAGCGGGGTTTCCAGTTAAAGGGGATACAGTCCATGATCGCACGGAAGTCACAGTGGTGGCAGCAGGAATATGGGATGTGTTTGCTTGCTCCCACCTCTGCAGACCAGGAAGTAAATGGGGGAGGAGGAAGAAGGAGGGAGAGGGAGAAAGAGGACTTCTTCCTCTTTTAATTCTATCTGGGACTCCAGCCCATAGAACTATGTCCTCTATACTCAGTGCATTCTTTTCCCACATCAGTTAATCAGCCCTCTCTAGAAGTGCTCTTGTGAACACACCCAAAGGTGTGTCCCCCTAATCCCTAGGCATTTCTTAATCCAGTTTGGCAGTGGATTTAGCCATCATAGTTGGGTTCCTAGCCTGAGGGCACAACTCTAGAATATTCACAATAGGGATCAAGTCCAAGTCAGTCTGGGCTTTCTTCACTGGTTCACTATCTGTGGAGAAAGAAAAGCTGGAGTTCTAGGCTCCCAGTCGCTCCTGCAGCCTGGAAACCCATCAGTCTGGAGGAGAAAGTTCCAAGATGGAACACTTCATTTCACTTTAAGTTGCTTTTAGAATGTGACAGGAAGCCAGGATGTGTAATTCCAGAAAATTAACATAATGTAATAAATAAATCCTCCAAAAGAGGGCTGAGACAAAAGAGGGCGGGGCCAAAAGAGGGCGGAGCAAGAGGGCGGAGCGAGATCTAAAGCATGGCGTGGTGGTGCGTGCCTGTACCCTCAGAGGTGGATATGAAACAAACGGGAAATCGGGTCAGTTTTGGCAAACTAGGAAGTTCAAGTCTAGCCTTGGCTACATAGCAAGACCATCTCACTCAAAACAGATCAAAACAAAACACTCAGCGAAAGTTTGATAATGTCTTAGTCATTTTCTCCCTCCTGTGATAAAACACCAGGATAAAAGCAGCTTCAAGGAGGAAGGGTTGGTGTTGGTTTGCAGTTCCAGAGGGATGGAGTCCATCCTGGGGGAAGGTGTGGCCGGGCAGGGGAGAAGCTGGCTGCATCACTTCCACAACAAACAAAGGTGAAAGAATCCACTGGAGCTTGGCTTGCTTTCTCAGTTCACGTAGTCCAGGATCCCCTGCCCAGGGAATGGTCCTGTGCCCAACTAAGATGAGTCTTGGCACATCAGTTAATGAGATGAAGACACCCCCACAGGCACGTTCAGCAGCTCTTCACAGCAAGTGACTCCAGAGCCCATTAAGTGGACACCCAATGCCCCATCACAGTGACAAAGAGTAAGACATTAAACCCAGGCTGTCAGGGTTAAGGGAGAGTGGCCGAGCGGCGAGGCGATGAAAACCTTAGGGGTGAAAGACAAATAGAGATGAAGGCCATGGAAAAGTCTGGAAAGGATGAAATCAGGCTGAGTGAAGAAGTTCACCTGGAGAGGAAGTAAGTCCCAAGCCCCCTAGAAGTCCAGCGAAACCGGCCGTGGACATCAGTCATTGTGCCGGAACCCATGTTGCCTGATGGCTGTTTCCTCCGAGAGAAAGAGGAAGAGAGCGGGAGCAGCTTGGGGGAGGGGGACTCAAGCGGGGCATTTCAGTGGCGGGAAGAGAACAGTCAGCTTAGTTGGTGTAATGCTCTTCCTGACTCTGCACCAAGTGTGACCCACCGCGGGTAAACTCCCTTGTCAGCCTCCTGTGAGACGCGCAACTCCTCTGGATCTTAGACATCTCCTTTCTTCAGTACTTAAAAAAAAAATACATTTAACATTTCATGAAGAATTGGAGTGCTAGGCTTAAAGGCATGCCCCACCACCGCCTGGAACTTCCGGGTAATATTTCTAAAACTTCATTTGCCATCATGCCTCAATTCATGAAGAAACATCTCTTGGCGATAAAATCCCAGCTGGTGACAACTGTAACGTAAGCACACCTGGATCCCTCAAACTGCACATTAAGGACTGAACTTCAGAGAGAATTCACAGAGCCCACAAAGACAACTCTCCCCCTGCTAAGTACCCCCATACTTCCGTTTTCTAGAATCCAATGTAATGAGCAGTGGAGAATGGTCAGAACGTCTTTGCCATGCTCTGGGCCAGCTCGCCCCATCCCTCCTGTACGTGAAGCCCTGAGCAGAGGTGCAATGGCTTCTAGCCAGGCCTTTGCCCCGGGGAACCGCAGAGACAGGAGGCGAGGGGGATGGGCAGCGAAGGCTTCCTGTGTGGTGCGGTTCTGATGTGCCTCAAAGAACTGATGAGAATAGCACTTCACAGTCCTTTCATCTCCGGAGCGCAGACATTTTTAACCGACTGATAATTCTATTGTGCAGACAGGAGCACGAATCCGGAAACGGCAGAAGTGGGGCCTCAGCCACTCCGTGTGCTTAGAAGGAGCGAGGCTTCCATCATTGCTGGCTTCTTCCAAAGTATTCTCCCAGCAAGAAGCCCCTGTTGACTAGGCTTTTATGCTAACAAGCCAGAAAGGCAGCCTTTTATAAGCCAGTCCCACTAGAAAACAGGGTTATACCACAGCACTGATCTTAACAGAGTTGCTCTATCAACTGGGATCTTGCAAAAACCTTTAATGGTTTTTAATTCCAGCTAGGAGATTTTAAATTAATTGTCATCATGCGTGTGATAGGCGTGGACATGGTGGCGGTCAGAGGACCACAATGTGAGTCTGTTTTCTGTGTCTACTTTGTGTGGGTTCCGAGGACTGAACTCAGGTTGCCTGGCCTCCTTGGCTAGTGTCTTTTCCCAGGAGCCATGTCACCAGCCTCCGGAGGCTATTTTTCCAGAAAGAAGCCCTCACTTGGGATTCATTTATATCTTGTGAGGATGAATTAAGATAATTCATTGTGTCCCTGTATACACAAGATTAAAAAACATCAGGTTTGTATACAATAACACTCATGATTAAAATGGCTTGTATAATAGAAAGAAAATAATATTAAAGAAAGGTGTTAGAAAAAAATAAATCTCGGCTAGCGAAATGCCTCAGCAGGTAAAGGCACTGGCTGCCAATGACCTGAGTTCACTCCCTGGAATCCACAAGGTGGAAGGAGAGATAGGACAGTTAGGCCCTGCCTCTACCATGGCACACATACACGCACGTGTACACTCACAATTAAAAACATATTAACACTGTAATATGATGAATATAGACATATTGTAAATATACAAAAATAAATTTAATTTTTAAAAATTAAAAAAACTGTCTCCCACTAAGTACACAAATATGAATACAAAATACTTAAGAGTACTTAGGATATTTTCTTGGGCAAATTATGCATACTTCCCCTCCTATGTGGAATCAAGGTTTGTGCTCTTGGGTATGTCTTAAGTAGAAAGGGGACTGAGATAGAGGAGTCAATCTTGAGTGGGAGGAAAAGAGGCAAGATGATACATGTGACATAAAAGCAAAAATGGGTCTATTTGGGGAGAAGGAAGGAACTGCACCATCAAGGCATAGAGGAAGAGGTGCGGTGAAGCAGGAGTGAGTTAGGGCAGGGTGGTGTGTGTGTGTGTATGTGTGCATGTGTGTGTGAGAGTGTGTGTGTGCATGTATGTGTGTCTGTGTGAGTGTGCATGTGCATATGCATGTGTGTGTGTATGTGTCTGTGTGTGAGCGTGCATGTGCATGTGCATGTGTGTATAAGTGTGCATGTGTACATGTGTGTGCGTATGTGTATGTATATGTCTGTGTGAGTGTGCATGTGCATATGCATGTGTGAGTATGTGTCTGTGTGTGAGCGTGCATGTGTATGTGCATGTGTGTGTATAAGTGTGCATGTGTACATGTGTGTGCGTATCTGTATGTATATGTCTGTGTGTGTGCATGTGTGTACGTATGTGTGTATTTGTATGTCTCTGTGTGTGTCTGTGTGTGTGTTTGTGTGTGTGCATGTGCATGTGTGTACGTATGTGTGTATGTGTATGTCTCTGTGTGTGTCTGTGTGTGTGTGTCTGTGTATGAAACTCCACAGCAAGGCCTCTCTGCCATGTGCTAACCCGAAACATTAATAAATGAAAAAAAAATCAAAAAGGTGATGGCTTCTCGAACTTTAGGCTTTATGGATTTAAAAGATAGCTTTTAAAAGTGTAAGTCAGATCTGATAGCAAAGGCTCATGAGTACTCGGGAGACTAAGGCAGGAGACTCTGGAGTTCAAAGTATTTCTGGCTACAGAGTAAAAACCTGTACCAAACAAAACCAAAAACCAAAGAGAGAGGGAGAGTGGCTAAATTGATGGTTAAATCATCATCACCACCATCACCGTCATCATCACCATCACCATCACCATGATATAAGGTTAAACATTTTAGATCTACCCAAATTGTGAGCCCTAAGTACACTTCTTCATGAAAACATTTAACTGAAAAAACATTTCAGGAAGGAAGGTGTGTTTGCAGGTGATAATCTTCCTGTCTGCCCAACACTTTCACTTCCTCCACAGGTCCTTTCTTCCACTTTTGCCTCAGCATCCTTGGAGCTAAGATTAAAGGTATGAGCCACCGCACCTGGCTACAGGTTATTCTTTTTGATATTTGACTACTCTTTATTATTATTTTCAGCCAATAAATATAATGGTGTCGAGCAAAATGTTATCAGTGGAATAGCTTCATAGTCGGCTGATGGTAAGGACCATCAGAAAGGATGCGGACAGACTCGCACAATGCAGGCTTCTGCTCCAGGAAGAGGAGCTGTCACCCCAGCCATCTCCTCGTGAGCGCTAAATCCATACACCCAGCTGAAGCCCATGATTCAATTCCCCCACCGCTCTCCTCTATTCAAACCCTGGGAAATGCGGCTTGTGTAACAGAGTCTGGTGTCATCGTAAGCAGAAATGCAAACAGGGACAGAAACCGCATGACGTGGCTCAGCTGTCAGCTGCTGAGCCTGCGAGTTTATAGCATGCCTATTTTTATCCTCGGACGTGAATAAATGGTGAAAATTTGTTCTTTGTTTCCTTCGTGAGTCTGTGCACACGTATTCATGCATGCATGGGAAGACCAGAGGTCAGCCTCAGATGTGTCTGTCTCACTGGCCTGGAGCTTGCCGTGTTAAGCTAGGCTGGCTGGACAGTGACCCTGAGGATCTCCACACACCATACTGTTACACCAGCTTTTCTGTGTAGGTTCTGGGAACTGAGCTCAGGTTCTCAGGCTTGCTACATTTTACCAGCCAAGCCTTTCCCAGGCACTGGTTTGCTTTATGACGGTCACTCTGGGTGGCAACAAACGCTGACGAGGATGTGGGGAAAGAGGAACCAATATCCACCGTTGGTGGGAGTAGAAACTGCCGTAACCACTACAGAGTTCAGTATGGAGGTTCCTCACAATACTGAAAATAGAACTGTCACATGGCCAGCTGCACCACTCTGGAGCATACACCAAAGATCTCTAGGTCGACATGCCACAGAAGCATGTGCCCATTCATGGTTATTGCTACAGCACTCACAAGAGTCACAGAATGGAGCCAGCCTAGATGTCCATCCGATGAATGAATAAAGAACATGGCCCATATGCACAGTGAAACTTTATACAACCCTCAAAACCATGCAATGGTGCATTTGCTGAAAACGGATTCAACCGAAGAGTGTGGTAAGTGAGATAAGTCAGACTTAGGGAGACGAACATTGAGTGTTTGCTCTCACCTGTAGATACTAGATTTTACATGGATACAACAGAGCATTTATACATATACATATGTAATCTATAATGGGGAATATATAATATATAGTATATGACATAGGATATAGGATATATGATAATTATGTTATATATTATATACCATGTGATGTATGATTATATATTATATGATATGTGATATGTAATATATTATAGGATATAGGATATATGGATATGTTACTATATGTCTCAGTTAGGGTTACTATTGCTGTGATGAAACACAATGACCAAAGCAATGTGGGGAGAAAAGGGTTGACTTGACTTCTACTTCCACACTGTTATTCATCATCAAAGGAAGTCAGGAACTCACACAGGGCTGGAACCTGGAGGCAGGAGCTGATGCAGAGGCCATGGAGGGGTGCTTACTGGCTTGCTCCCCATGGCTTGCTCAGCCTGCTTGCTTATAGAACCCAGGACCACCAGCCCAGGGCAGGGGCGGCACCACCCACAATGAGCTAGGCCGTCTCACGTCAATCACTAATTAAGAGAATGCCCCACAGGCTTGTGTACAGCCTGATCTTACGGAGGCATTTTCCTAGTTGAGATTTCTTCTTATGCTGGTTTGAGTATGCTTGGCCAGGGAGTGGCACTGTTTGAAGGTGTGGCCTTGTTGGAGTGGGTGTGGCCTTGTTAGAGGAAGTGTGTCACTGTGAGGGTGGGCTTTGAAGCTCTGCCCAGTTGTGGAAGTCAGTCTTTTCCTAAAGGCATTCCCTGAAGATGTAGAACTCTCAGCTCCTCCTGCACCATGCCTGCCTGCATGCTGCCATGATAATGGACTGAGCCTCTGAACCTGTAAGCCAGCCCCGATTAAATGTTCTCTGTATAAGAGTTGTCTTGGTCATAGAGTCTGTTCACAGCAGTAAAACCCTCTGAGAGACTCCTCTCAGATGACTTTAGCTTGTGTCACATTGATATAAAACTAGCCAGAACACCATGCTAAAAGCTTCTGGATCCTTAACTAACTTCATTTTGCTGATTTCAAAACGCAGTTTGGTAAAAGCCAGTCTCAACAGAAGTGCACAAAGGAAGCAGAATCTGTCGGTGTGTGTTACAGGAACTACAGGGTCTCAAAGGCAACGCCTCAAAAGCCACCTCACAAGTTCAGATGCAGACTGGACACTTCAGAGCTTCTCTGCATTCTTTGGGTTGGATTGGGCCACAATGCCTAGTGCACAATACGTTACAACACTCTCTAGGTGTCCGATGTCCTACTGGGACTCCATTTCTCTTAGCCTCGGTGGAAATTCACAGGCAGGATTTTGTTGATAATCCCTAAACTCACAGGGACTGAAGTTCGTGAGCCTGTCAGAAGCTTCGAGCATTTGCCACTGAATAAACATGAACACTTACACTATTTGCATGAATAAAATATACGATGGGATATTTTTATCTATAAACACAATAAACAAGGTTGAATTGTGTAAACATGGGATGTAATTCTGGTTCGTATTTTTTCTTCCTC